ACAAAAAATATTCATAGTCAACTATAAGATCTGCTTATAAACATACATACATACATACATACATACATACATACATACATACATACATACATACATACATACATACATACATACACACACACACACACATACATACATACATACATACATACATACATGCATGCATATTACGTGGAATGATCAGTTATCTACATACTCATATCATTGTGGCATGATTCTGGGATGGAATTGGACATGGGAACAAAACAAATATATTCGTTAACATCCCAAACATGAATGAAAAATAAAAAACATTTGGGAAGAAATTGAATTACCTCTTTCCTTCTACTTCTAGTATTTTATGCCTTATAACCTGTTTCAGAATTGGGTTTGTTTCTAGAACTCTTTGGTATTCCACGTTTTCTTTTACGTTTTGTGGGATCAAGCACCAGTTGAGATGACTGCTATGGGATCACATCATCCTAGTCAAGGCATTCACCACTACTACCAATTTGTTGTGGGATCACATCATCCCAGTCAAGGCATTCACCACCACTACCAATCCCACCTTCACCCCCTTCTTGGGTAACGTTTACATCCGGCCGACTACCATTGCATGGTTTATACACCGACGTAGAGCTACAGTGTGACTCGTAGATCCTATTTTGAATACGGGGTATTCAACACTAGGGGGAAGAACACAACCATGTGTTTTGATGTACTTCTTACGGTGTTCCTTCACGTCCTCCCTTAGCTTGGACAGAGACATAAGTAACATGTGTCCACAATATCTTCATCAACGGCAGAAGCTTCGTCACATAGTGGCTCAAAAGCTGTCATAATTCTATTATACCTTCTCACCTCTAGGGTTTGTGACGAGTCATGATAAGCAACCTTGACCCTTGTATGCTTCCTAATTATGACTTTCCTCCATCGATCTAAAATATATTTTTGTGGTATCTCAAACACCAAATTATGGTCCATAATTCTTATAAAATACTTGCATAATATGCCATGGGTTTCAAACTTACGACATTCAGATGACACCTCTTTCGTCGTTGTGTTAAACCTAACGCGGTAGGAACGTCATCTACCGGTAATAATTAACCTCTTTGCTTTTCCCTTGGGAACAATCCACACTCTATCTTTGAGCCATAATCTTTGGTATGATCATCAACAACCCTTTCACCCCTACTATTACAATACAATGTCCTAGACAACTCCTTCTAAACCTTTCGAATTTACCATTAGTGTACAACCTTTGAAATATTTTCTCAACCTTGAAGCCACTTATTAGGCAGCGAACATACTTCATACATCTAGCATTAGCTTCATTCTCATCTCGGACCCTTTTCTCCATTGCCCCTAATATACTTTTGTGGAAACTCGTGCAGTTTTGTTTTGCGGTTGACAAAACCGTCAAAATTGCTATTTATGCTCTCAACCCTTTGAGTTGTTTTCATTCTTGCCCCAAAATACTCTTTTGTGAATGCAGGTACCAACATATGCCTCTCCTGAAAAAGATTATCAAGCCATTTATTCTCTTCCAACTTGTAGTGCTTGATAATCTCTAGCCAACCTTTCTCAAATTCTTTAACGATAAAGCTCTCGTATAAAACATTTTTCAACGGCCTCTTAAATTTCTGGTACTTGACACAGTGTGTTTGCTTTGTATTTGCCTCTTAAATTTCTACATACTTACGAAAATATAGGGTTATTTAATCATGTAAAAGATATGAAACAAAGGTGACCAATAACTTACAAGGTCCATTTTCCAAGCTTCTTTGGGAACTTCTTCATAATGTGCCTTATACACCATCGATGGCGGGAGTTTGGCATAATTTCAGCTAACGGCTTCCTCATCGCTGCAGCTAAGTCTGTAAGTATGGCCAACGGAGCTTTGTTCCTCATATATTCTACCCACTAACGAAATACCTAAGCATAGTGTCGCAATCTTCACGATAAACAAGAGCATAGCCGAGTGGAATTGACTGACCGTGATGGTTCACCCCTACAAAGTTTGCATATGGAAGTTCATATTCATTTGTTAGATAAGTGGCATCGAAGCACATAACATCCCCAAAATCTTTACATGCTACCCGACTCCATGCATCGACCCAGATGACGTCTTTCAGGCAACCTTTAGCATCCAAACGATGAGCGTGATAAAAATTGGAATTATCGGCTTGCATATTTTCAAAGTAACACATCATTGCTGCAGCGTCACCGCCCTCCATTTTAAGCCTCCTCACCTTATACACCTCATGTTGAAGGTCCTTCACACTAGGTAACACCCTCTGGTGAGATAAACCTCTGTGAATTTGAGATACGAGAATACCCTATTCGTAAAAGTTAAGTAACTGCTTCCGAACAACAGGCGTGTTATACTTCAATCTATACTCCTTCACCAGCTTAGATTTGCCTGGGATATGATTTTTATGTTCATTGTTCACTTCTTTTATAACCCATTCACCTTCCTCATTGATACTAGCATATATCAAAGCACCACTTTGGCACTTTTTGGAGGTCCTCTTCCCCTACTGTAGCTCATCTTGTCCTATAACCCCATTTACCTTACCACCACACCCGGACACTTTCATCGCCTTAGCCCTCTTCTTAGCCTCCCTTAGCGCCCTCATGTTAGGAGCACCCCATCATTCACATCTCCATCTTAACACCCTACACTCCTTAGGTTTCTTTGAAAAATTTCCTTTAACGCGAGTAACTCGAAACCCTTTTTGCTCGGCTTACTGTTTATAATATATCTCAATATCCTGCCAGCTTCTAAAAACCATACCCACCCTCAGTGGTTCTACAACGGTAACAACACTAACCCGGTTGTTAGACACAGTTGTTTCAATTGTTTGGATCGGAGATGAGTATACAACAAGGTTACTACTTGGAATTTCTTTCACAACACGATCAGGGGTTTGCAACAACGACTCACCAACGACGAAATCAACCATGTTATTGTTAGGCTCAGTACTAACAGGAACACAAGTCGTCGATTTGGAACATATGAATTTAGGGTCATTATCATCACCCAAACTAATTCCACTAACAGAAGTAACAACATCTTCCTTTATTATCCCTTCACCTATAATCTTATCCATAGTTCAACACACGTAAAACAGATCTACCTACAATTAAAATTGAGTAATTTTAATAAACTTACAAATATAAATCAACTCATTATATATCAAACCTTAATAAAATCAAGAAAGGTGATATGATGATGAACTTATGTGGGGCTTGATAATCGCTACAGAGGCTATACCATTTCAACCTACAATTAAAATTGAGTAATTCTAATAACTTACAAGATAAATCAACTTATTATACTTTAAACCATAGGAAAATTTCACAAGAATAATCCAACCATTAGCTTGTTCTCCCAAAATACTCCAACGTTTTGATTAACCTTGAATAATCCTAATTATACTACTTATCTTATCTTACCGAGCCTTTTGACCGGTTACCTGAACTTCAGGTTACTTTTTTATTTTTTTTATTTTCCTTAATTAATTTCCCCCGCCTTCTTCCTTCTCCCCTCTTTAACTTATTCCAGCCATTAACAATGGCTTCTTCACCTATCTCAACCTTGCCGCCACCGTGCACAACCTCACCTCACCTCACCTCACTGTCAGCCTAACCCATTCCTATCCACTGTCAGCCTAACCCACTCACCACAACATCCATGACCCACCCACAACCTCACCTCACCTCACCACCTCCGCCACCACTAACCCCACCCAAACCCACTCCCACCAGACTCACAACCACCAATCCCACCTAGTCGTATACGTTCATACCCGAATTCACCAACCCATACCCGAAACCCCAATTCTACCTACCCAGAACACGAAACCCCAACTCCCACCAATTTCCTTATCTTTTCTCCCTTTCAATTGAATTTTGGGCTGAATTGGGCGGCCGTAAGCCGTTGATATTGTGGATACTGTTTTCGGTTGTGGGTGGGTCATGGATGTTGTGGTGAGTGGTGATGTCGGTGGTTGTTTGTGGTGGTTCTAGGTGGTGGTGTTTGTAGTGCTGTGATGGTTTGTTGAGTGGTGTTGGTGGGTGATAATGGAGGAAGGAAGAGGAGAGGGAAACAAACAGAGGGTCGGGGAAGGAGATAGAAGGGGTTTTTTTTTTTAATTTTCAGAATTTAAATTTATTATATATTTAAATTAAAAATAAAAATTTGACCAATCAGAAATTGCCACGTGGATGGTAACTGGTTAAAAAGGGTAAGGTGACTTGCTGGGGTTGCTAGGAGAAAATATATAGTAAACTTAGGATTATTCAAGGTTAATCGAAAGGTTGAATTATTCTGGGAGAATGAGACAAAGGTTGGAATATTCTTGTGAAATTTTCCTAAACCATAATAAAATCAAGAAAGGAGATATGATGATGAACTTACTTGGGGCTTGATAATCACTATGGAGCCAATACCATTTCCATTCTCCTCTTGAATTGCTTATCTCACTCGTACAACAATAATGCATGATTGCTCCTCTTGAAAATTTGAAAGGTGCAACAGTAAACTAGAGTAACTAACCATAGTTAACAAGCGTTAGATGGCAACTAACGACATATTACTTGGCATCCAAATGTTTGCCTAACGGTGCAAATTAAATGCAACTTGTAGGTGAGCTGTACAAAATACTTGAACTAAGGGGCACGCTTTTTCCATACATTTACAAGAAATGCCATCAGATAAACGAAACTTCGTTAATCTGGGGCATGAACTTGTCGTTTTTTTTATGAACAAAAATACTCCCTCCGATTCAAAATAATTGGTATTGTTTGTTCTTATATAATTGATACATGACCAAAGTAGTAAGGGGCAACTAATACTATTTTCTTTCGATGTACTAACTAATAATAAATACTACCTCCGTTAATTTTTATGTGCAACTTTGGAATATTTTATATCTCACAAATAATATCCCAAAGTTGCACATAAAAATTAACAGAGGTAGTAAGAAATAAGAGACAATAGACAACCTTTGAATATAATTGCGGAAGCATACACCTAAATCGGAGGTATTACCGCCACACTCAACAACTTGTCAAGTGTTAAGGCTTACAAAAATCTCAACAGTTACAACCCAATAAATCTAAGTCAGCTATTTATGCAACTTTACAAACTCGATATGAAAACACTAATCGATCACTTGAGCTCCTTTAGCTCCTTTAGCTACGATCACTTGATCAACCTGTTCAAACAATCTTGACTGCTCACCATTAAGGACAAATTCCAAAATAGATCGTCGTAGGGCCACCATAAGAAAAAGACATGGCAGTAAACACAAGTAGCATAACAAACAAACACACACGTCAGCAAAAGTTGAGTAATCACCACATATTATAATACAAAGAATAATATAATAATTAACATTACTAGGTCAATTAAACAATGTAGTTAAAAACTACATTACACATTGTACTCTGAAAATAACCTTTGTCTGCCTCAACCTCGAATAAATATGATCATTTACTCAATTAACTCATACATCCCATAAGTCTGCCATGTTCTTTATTCTATATCTAGCCTTGGACATGGGTAATTCAAATAACAAACCTACAAGTATAAAAACTTGAATACTCTCATAACCAGAAAAACACCTTAAACTAGACCACATATGGGTCAATCCCACTGTAGGGGACCATAGAAAAATAAAGGGAAATTTTCTTTGGTGAACCCCAATTTTTTTGTTTTCCAAGTGGTAAACATTCTTAAATTTTATTATCAATGGTAAACCTAAAATTTTGATTACCATTGATAAGTGTTATTTTAATAAAAATCCTAAACTATGGTTAGTTAGTTATTTTTTTAATGATTAAATAATTATAAAAGTAATTTTTTTTTAAAAAAAAAAAAAAAAAACCAAACCCCTCCCCCACCCAACCTAGCTAGCCACTAGTAGGCGGCAACCCCTCTGATCCCCTACCGGCGGCCATTCCTCTGCCGGAGACACCCGACCTCCCCCAGCGCCGACGACTCCCGACCTCCCCCTCCTTGTCCAGCGACGCCTAACCTCCCCCGCCCCACCTTCTCTCTTTCTCCCATCCTGATATCTCCCCCGCCCTACCTTCTCTCTTCCTTCCCCTCCCCGATTCCGACCACTAACTCCCTTCCCCTTCCTAATTCTGGCCACCCTTTCCCTTCTCCTCCCATTTCTTGCCACCCCTCTCTTTTCCTCCCCGATTTCAACAACCACCAACCCCAGCACCAGCCCGCAACACCATTGAAATTAGCGCTTCTACTGCTACTCCTCTTCTATTCGCAAACACACCACCCACAAACGATGCCCGCAAATTCCTCATTGGTTGTGATTGTGGCTGCGAATAGGGGTGCTTTGCGAATTGCGGTTGAGATTGGTGGGAATTGTGGTTGCGATTGGTGGTATTGGGCTGCGATTTTGTTGCGGCTGTGAAAATGGTTAGGCATTTGGTGGGTAGCAGTAGCAGTTGGTGGTTTTGTTGTTGGAGATGCAGAGTGGAGCGCTGGTGGTTGGAGGAGTGGTGCATTGGTGGTGTATTTGGGATTTCAATAGGTGGTTTAGGGGAAGGGGAGGGGCTGGGCGATCGGGCTTTGGGTCAGAAGTGTACCGCCGGCACCGAGTAAATCCTCTGGCCGCCGACGGGGGTAATGGGTGGTGGTGTGGTTGCTGTCGGTGAGGGGAGGATTTTTTTTATTATAAAAAATATTTCTAAAATAAATGTTAAAAAAAAAGCTAACTATGGTTAAATATTTAGTTAAAATTTATGATTAGTGTTATATTTGACTTAGTATAAAATTTTAGGTCTACCATTGATAATAAAATTTAAGAATGTTTACCACTTGGAAAATTAAAAAGTTGGAGTTCACCAAAGAGAATTTCCCAAAAATAAATAATAAAGATTGTACCTCATTCTTAACTCAGGATTATTATCTCCTTACCAACATGCCTAGGACTAAGGTCTATAATGCCTAGCCTCAAACAAAAAACAAAATAATAACGCTCAACCTTTTGATCTCATAAGTCGATCAAATAATTATTCGCAAATTAATTTATAATATCTCAATAATGGCACAGGTTTCCAAATAACATAACAATTCGATTCATAAATATCTCAACTCTTAGGGCAATAAAACTAATTCCCAAAATTAATTAATTCTCAACCCAAAAATAATATTAACAACTCTAATCTAAAACCTCAAATATGATACTATATATTCAAACACAATGCCTCAATACAATTATGCTAGTAGACTACCAGAGAGCAAAAGGTTACATCAAATAAAGCCACATAAACTAAATTGTACATGAAAATCATATACGGAATATATCAATATTCATTCAATTCCACAAAGTCGCAGACCATCAAATACATAAATTACAAACATGATTGTAGTATAATTAAACAACAAAATATGATATGATTAAACAAAATAAATTATATAATCAATTAACTCTAAACAAATTAAAATCGTGTGATTACACATAATATTGAGATAGTGTGATTACACATAATAAACAATACAACCAAATTACTATCAAACCACTTCGAAATATTGAGATAGTGTGATTACATATAATAAACAATACAATCAATTTAATCAAATATCTCCAAAGAAGTTTGTGTGATTATATATAATAAATAATACAATCAAATTATAAACAAATGATATAAAGGTTGATGGTGTGATTACCTTTCTACGAAATACTATCAACTACTATATTGAAAGAAAGAAGTAGATTGACTGACGTCACAATTCCTCGCCTTCATTATACAAACATCTTGTGGGCTTTCTTTACGATTCAATAAATAAGCTAATGGAGATTGGTGAATGAAACAAAACTTAGGAAATAATTTTGGGTTTGGTTGATGAATCCGACGCACACAAGAACAAGAAAACGCTGGCTTCGGCTGCTTTACTTTTTTTTTTTAAATAAAATAATAATGTAGGGTTAGAGATATAAATTCTATCAAATAAGATAAGAAAATAAAATTTTATAGTACACAACTCTAATTTTATAATTTGTAAAATCATAAAATATACGGATATTACACCTACTAATTTAGGACTTGTTACATAAAGAAATAACAAGTCAAAAAATAGAAAAGAAAATTAAAAAAATGGCATCCCTCAACAGCTTCCCCAATTTCATCAATGGTCCCATCGCATGTTTAAATGTGAGTTGGTAAGCCTTATTTACGTTCACACTCATTGTAATAACTTAAGTGCGTTCTATACCTGATTTTTACTTATTTGAACTTATTTGATCTTATCTGATCTTATCTTAACTTATTTGCCTTGTTAGAACTTATTTTAGTTATAAATTAAATTGGGTAGTCCTTTTTAACCCTTATCACAACTTATCTCAACTTGTTTTTCCTGAAATTATCTTATCTGAACTTATTAACTCTTATCTGAAGTTATATGAACTTACTAACCTTGAAATAAATGGAAATAAGGTGAACATAATAGGGCCTAAAGGTAAATGTCGTTAATGGTCTTAGTTGGTGTTGTGTAAGGACTTTTTATGCCTATAGTAACTTATATGGTTATATTACTACCTCTGTTACAGGTTATGTGCAACGATTTGACATAAAGCAGAGAAGGAAAATGTCTAATCGTTGCACATAACCTGTAACGGAGGTATTACTTTACTTTTTTTTTTTGTTAGTAAACTTGTTATAATTACTAAAAAAATAAAAATTGCAAACAATTTTTTGAGAAATCAATTATATTATACTAAAGGCGAAGCTTAGAGAACACTTGGCAAAATATTATAAAAAGTTTTCCCTCCCAAACCACTTACTAAAAAAAACTTATTTTAATTAAATTATGACTTTTAGTTTGTATAAATAAAATCTAAAATAAATGTCCTTAAATATCAAATTGCCCATTATAACTATTACATGTTTAATTAATTTCTTTCACAATATTTCATACTTTTTATTACTAAGTCTATTCCTTCAAAAAAAAAAAAAAATATTACTAAGTCTATTTATAATATTTATATCCATTATTTTTGGTAAAATTTATTGTCATTAGAATCAACAATCAATTACATTATACTAAAGACGAAACTTAGGGAACACTTGGCAAAATATTATAAAAAGTTTTCCATCCCAAACCACTTACTAAAAAAAAAACTTATTTTAATTAAATTATGACTTTTAGTTTGTTTAAATAAAATCTAAAATAAATGTCCTTAAATATCAAATTGCCCATTATAACTATTACATGTTTAATTAATTTCTTTCACAATATTTCATACTTTTTATTACTAAGTCTATTCCTTCAAAAAAAAAAATATTACTAAGTCTATTTATAATATTTATATCCATTATTTTTGGTAAAATTTATTGTTATTAGAATCATCAATCAATCAATTACATTATACTAAAGACGAAACTTAGAGAACACTTGGCAAAATATTATAAAAAGTTTTTCCTCCCAAACCACTTACTAAAAAAACTTATTTTAATTAAATTATGACTTTTAGTTTGTATAAATAAAATCTAAAATAAATGTCCTTAAATATCAAATTGCCCATTATAACTATTACATGTTTAATTAATTTCTTTCACAATATTTCATACTTTTTATTACTAAGTCTATTCCTTCAAAAAAAAAAAAAATTACTAAGTCTATTTATAATATTTATATCCATTATTTTTGGGAAAATTTATTGTCATTAGAATCATCAATCAATTACATCATACTAAAGGCGAAACTTAGAGAACACTTGGCAAAATATTATAAAAAGTTTTTCCTCCCAAACCACTTACTAAAAAAAACTTATTTTAATTAAATTATGAATTTTAGTTTGTATAAATAAAATCTAAAATAAATATCCTTAAATATCAAATTGCCCATTATAACTATTACATGTTTAATTAATTCCTTTCACAATATTTCATACTTTTTATTACTAAGTCTATTCCTTCAAAAAAAAAAAAAATATTACTAAGTCTATTTATAATATTTATATACATTATTTTTGGTAAAATTTATTGTCATTAGAATCATCAATCAATTAGATTATACTAAAGGCGAAACTTAGAGAACACTTGACAAAATATTATAAAAATTTTTCCCTCCCAAACCACTTACTAAAAAAAACTTATTTTAATTAAATTATGACTTTTAGTTAGTTTAAATAAAATCTAAAATAAATGTCCTTAAATATCAAATTGCCCATTATAACTATTACATGTTTAATTAATTTCTTTCACAATATTTCATACTTTTTATTACTAAGTCTATTCCTTAAAAAAAATAAAAAATATTACTAAGTCTATTTATAATATTTATATCCATTATTTTTGGTAAAATTTATTGTCATTAGAATCATCAATTACATTATACTAAAGGCAAAACTTAGAGAACACTTGGCAAAATATTATAAAAAGTTTTCCCTCCCAAACCACTTTCTAAAAAAAAAAACTTATTTTAATTAAATTATGACTTCTAGTTTGTATAAATAAAATCTAAAATAAATGTCCTTAAATATCAAATTGCCCATTAAGACTATTACATGTTTAATTAATTTCTTTCACAATATTTCATACTTTTTATTACTAAGTCTATTCCTTCAAAAAAAAAAAAAAATATTACTAAGTCTATTTATAATATTTATATCCATTATTTTTGATAAAATTTATTGTCATTAGAATTATTTAACAATCGTGCATTGCACGGGGTTTAATCTAGTGGAAGCATAAATGAAAATACTAGTAAACACTTTTTAAAATAGATTTACTTTTTTTTTTTAATGCAAAGCCGGGGGCATGATATTAAAAGAAAGTAGAAGTCAACAAGATAGTTAGGGAGGCTTATCCTCCAATATTACATCCCGAATAAAGTCAGCTGGATCATATAAAATTACAAGAGTTACATCTTGATTCGGAGATGTCCTACAATATTTAGCTAATAAGATTTACTTTAACCCCTTATAATTAGACGCTCATTTTAAAGACCCGCCCCATTTATTTATTAGACGGATCTAATCCATTTATAATTGTAGCGGGTCAGGACTTTTATTCTCGTTGGACCTATCTCTCAGTTATCCATTGAAGCACAGTTGACGTTCTCCGTTGAAGCCTTCTATACTTGTATCCGCCATTGAAGCTGCTTCTGGGGTAAGTTATTTGTTCTTGTTATCATCATATCAATTTCACAATCTAATTTAGTTAAGGGTAGGGTTCGAAATCTCAACTATTGGTTCTAAATTCTAAGATTATGAAACCATAAATCAAAATAATGAGCCTAATTTGATTATTGAATCCTAAAATTATGTGGTTTTTCGAGATGATTGAATGAAATTTGGTTGCTAATGTGTTGCAAAACCCTTTAATGTTAGGATTGAGCTATGAATCAAAATTATGAACCTAATTTGATTATCGAATCCTAAAATTATGTGATTTTTCGAGATAATTGAATGAAATTTGGTTGCTAATGTATTGCAACACCCTTTAATGTTAGGATTGAAGTATGAAATTAGACCTCTTTTCGCTGCCCTGCCTTAGGGACGGGCCTACATTCTTTCTCCTCGGCTCTCGTCGCAAACATTGCTTCTCTATCGGAACCCGATGTTTGTCTTCGCTATCATCCTCATCAATTGGAACAGAAAATTTGAACTCTCAGAATGCCGGACGTACTGGCGGAATTATGCCTTCTATGATTGCCCAAACGCCGCAGAAAATCGATATAAATCCTCCCAAAGGAACAAGAGATTTTCCTCCTGAGGATATGCGGTTGCGAAGCTGGTTGTTTCAGAATTTCAGAGAGGTTTTCTTAGCTGAATTTTTGAATGTTTTTCCAATGAATTTGTGGAATTTTGTTTTCATTAATTTGCAATTGTAGGTGTCGCATTTGTTTGGTTTTGAAGAGGTTGATTTTCCGGTGTTGGAATCAGAGGCATTGTTTATTAGGAAAGCTGGAGAAGAAATCAGGGACCAGGTATGATGGTGAAATCAAATGAACTGTATTTATTTATTGTATTTTTTTTAAGTTCATTGCTTTAAATTGTATGTTTTTTTTTTTTGGCTGAATTATGTGATGGTGAAGTAGACTGTATGATTTGTTTTTGACTTTTTGGTGATTTGATGACTTTGAGCAACTTTTATGGCAACAACAGATTATTTAATTTTATTGTGATGGCATTAGAACCTACTAACCAGCCTAACACTTGGAGTATAAACTATAACACAATAGTATAAACACAATGCACACACGAATGTTGTGGTAGCACCTGTATGAACCATAGCAAACATTTCCTTGCCATTCACAATGACCTTGCAATACATCAGGCCATAACAGATTCTTTGTGTTCACCCTTGGTAGCATTCAAAAACTTTATGGTTAAAGGAAAAATTGCCCAGAATAATCCAACTTTTGCCTCATCCGCCCAAAATAATCCCACATTTTAATTATTTTTTAATAATCTGACCTTTAATACCAATCCACTTATGATCCCAAGTGATCTGTAACCGGTTGAATAGGTAATTTATGTTTAATTAATTTAAATTTACATGTGTCCAATGTGATTGGTCAAAAATAACTTTTAATTTAATTTTTTTTTTAAAGCAATGATTATTACTAATTAACAATAATTAACTATTTTAAAACTAACGTTTTTAAAAATAATAAATTTTTTTAAAAAATAATAACTAAAAATTAAAACAACAACCAGCCACCCCGCCCCACCATCATCCCGCCGTCCCAGACAGCAGCCTTGCTGAACCAGACCATCGTCCCAGACTGGCCGTAAGCCTGTTGGTCGCCGCCCCTACCCCCTTCCGTCAGTAGTAGGAGAAGGTGACCGAAATCGAGGAGTTGGGGGGGGGGGAGGGGGCTGAAATTGTGGCAAGGGGAAAGGGATAAGGCCTGAAAAGGGATAAGGGAAAGGGAGGGGCTGGAAACGTGGGGGGAATGGGAGGGAGGTCGAGATCGGGACAGGGAAGGATTATTTCGAGGCTGGTTAGTGGTGCAGGGGTGGGAAGTAGGCGATTCAAGGGGGAGGGGGATGGCGGTCGGCGTGACGCTCCAATGGGGGGGGGGGCAGGGGGTCGGGCGAGTGGGAGTGATCAGCCGTAGAGGGTGGTTGGGCTGGTGGGGTTGATTTTTTAATATTTTTTTTTATAAATTTTGTTAATTAATTAAGTTTAATATTTTTTATTTAATAAAAAATATTTA